CTTTGTTAGTTTTGCCAAAGGTTTATCAATTTTATTGATCTTTTCAAAGAAACAACTTCTGGTTCTGTTGATTTTCTCAGTTGATTTTCTGTTTTCAATTTTATTCGTTTCTGCTCTGATATTTGTTATTTCCTTTCTTCTGGTAGGTTTAGGCTTAGTTTGCTCTTCTCTGTTTCCTCAAGTTGTCGAGTTAGGCTGTGGATTTGAGGTTTTTCTTAATTTTTCATGTAAGCATTTGTTGCTGTGTGTTCCCCTCTGAGTACTGCTTTTGCTGCATCCTATAAGTAGTTTTGGTATGCTAAGAAATTTGTGATTTCTGTTTTGATTTCTTTCTTGACCCATTAGTAGTTTAATTTCCAGATGTTTATGTTGTCACCTTTTTTTTTTTTCCATTACCAATTTCTGGCTTTTCTCCATTATGTTCAGAGGAGATACTTTGTATGATTTCAGTATTTTTAAATTTATTGAGACTTGCTTTGTGACCTAACATGTGGTCTGTCCTGGAGAATGTTGTATGTGCATTGGAGTAAAATGTATATTGAGCTGTTGTTGGGTAGAGTGATATATATATTTATTTGTCTGTTAAGTCTAGTTGGTTTATAGTGTCATTCACATCCTTTTCCCTTGTTGATCTTCTTTCTAGATGTTCTGTTCAATATTGAAAGTAGTGTATTGAAGTATCCAACCATTATTGTAATGCTCTCTATTTCTCCCTTCAATTTCTCGGTGTTTGCTTTATACATTTAGGTGTTGATGTTGCGTGCATATATATTTATGATTGTTAAGTCTTGTTGAATTGATCTTTCCATTAGTATATAATGTCCATCTTTATCTCTTCTAATAGATTTGTCTTAAAGTCTACTCTGTCTGATATTAAGATTGCAACACCATCTCTTTTGGTTATTATTTCCATGGAATATTTGATTCTTTTCTTTCACTTTCAGTGTATTCGTGTTCTTGAGTCTAAGTTGTGTCTCTTGTAAACAACATAGTTGGATCATTTCTTGTTTTTTAACATTCTGCAGCTCTCTGCCTTTTGATTGGAGCATTTAGTCCATTTATATTGACTGTAATTACTGGTAAGAAGTGACTTAACTCCTGCCATTTTGTTGCTGTTTTTTGTGTGTCTTAGCCTTCTTTGTCTTTGTGCTTTACTACTGCTTGCTTTTGTGTTTTGTTGGTTTACTGTAGTAAGCCATTTTGGTTCCCTTTTCCTTTCCTTTTGTGTATGTATTTTAGATATTTTCTTAGTGGTAACTGTGAATATTACATTTAACAGCTTGTATTTATAACATTCTAGGGTAGGTTGGTGCCAGCTTAACTTCAGTAGCATATAAGAAATTCTATACCTCTACCATTCGTCCCCAACCCCATTCTGTTGTTGTTAACAGTAATTACATCTTTATATTTCATATGCTGTTTAATATAATGTTATTCTTGCCTTTTATGCATTGTCATTAAAAAGCATGAAGGACAAAGCAACTAGAATTATCAAGTATGAATATACCTCATTATTAGCCCTTGTACTTGTCCATGCAAAATTCCTTTATTAGGGAATTTGTGTGTGTGTGTGTGTGTGGGTGGGTGGGTGTGTTTGAATTACTTTCTAGTGCGTTTTCCCTTCCATCTGCAGAACTCCCATTAGTATTTTTTGTAGGGCTGGTCTGGTGGATATGAACTCTCTCAGCTTCCGTTTGTCTGAGAACATTTTAATTTTACACTTATTTTTGAAGGACAGTCTCACTGGGTATAGTATTCTTGGTTGACAGTCCTCCCCCACTCCCCGAACTTAAATATGTCATTCCATTGCCTTCTGGCCTCTAATGTTTCTGAGGCAAAATCTGCAGTTAATCTTACTGGGGACCCTTTGTATATGACTGTTACAGCTTTCAGGATTCTCTCTTTGTCCTTACTTTTTGAGAACCTAACTATGATGACTCTGGGTGTAGATCTCTTTAGTTTCATCCTGCTTGGGGTTCTTTGAGCTCTTTGGATTTGTAGATTCATGTGCTTTGTCAGATTGAGGAGATTTTCTGTCATTATTTCTTCAATATTCTTTTTGTTCCTGTCTTCCTCAACTTTTTCTTGAATTCTTATCATGTGTATATTAGTACTCTTGTTGTTGTTCTGTAATTCCATAAAACTGTGCTCAGACTTCTGAAGCCTCCATTCTTGCTGCTCTTCAGTCTCTGGAATTTTGACTATTTTATCCTCTAATTCACAGATTCTTTCTTCTTCCTGATTTAATCTGTCAAATTTTTCCATTGTGTTTCTCATTTCAGTTGTTGTCCCTTTTAGTTGCAATATTTGTTTCTTTTTGTCTCTTTTTTAGATCTTCTTTCTGTTGTTACATTGTTTTCCTTTTTTTCTTTTAGATACTTGTCAGTGTTTTCCCTTAGCTCTTTAATTATGTTTAACGTTACTGTATTACATTTTTCCATTTTCTTCATAATTTGGCCTTCCAAGATGCACTTTCACTCTCTTTGTCATGTTCATTTGGATGGGCCATCATTTCTCTTTTCTTCGTGCGTCTGTGATTTTTTTGGGGGGCATTGGAACTTTCTTGGGTGTTATCTTTCTCAGTTCTTTCCAGTATTTGGTGTTTTTTGCTCGCACTACTTTCTGCAAAAAACTCTCGGGTGGACAGAGCCGTCAACCTTTGCTTACTGGTTTTTCTCCTTCTCTCTGATAGTTCCTTCTCCCTCCCAGTTTAATTAGGATTCGAAAGTTCTAGATCTCAGTTTTTGATTTTTGATGTCTCCCGAACACGCTGTGGTCAGTCTGCCCACCCCTGGGCACCGCCACTTAGATGAGATACTATGCGCTAATCAGTCTGTCCACCAGTGGGCACAGTCTTCTCTCTCTGGTTATTTACTCCCTTTCCTTCTCTGTTTCTGCAATCATGTTTTCAGTCAGAAAACCCACACCCAGAAAGCCCCTTTTGGGGCTGAGTGTTGCCCTCAGGTTTTGCCCAAGTCTTCCTTCCCTCCTCTGTGGGAGCTGCTTCTATCTGAGTTGGCATTCAGGGGAAGCACAGGTAGACTTTTTTTATACCTGGAGCAGGAGGAGCTGGCACTCCCAGAAAAACCTCAGTGAGATCTGTCTTGTTTCACTGGGGTTTCAGAGCCCCAGTGGCCCTGTGGTGGTTAGGGAAGCATTCTCTATTGGTAACCTGCCTGATGGCTCCACTGTTGGGAACCTACTGTAGGAATTCTTATCAGACCAGCTGCCCTCAGTTACCAGGTGGGGGAGTGGCTGTTGTGCTTTGAATGACTCCCAGGGAGGTCTGCATTGTTGCTATCATAGCCTTCCCCCCCCCCCCATAGTATGCTGGCAGCTTCCATTTAAGATGCCTTCTTCCTAGCACATAGCAGCCTCAGTCACCAGTCCTCAACACCAGCTGGAAGGGGGAGCAGACAGACCCACCGGGAGGTCTGTCCTGTTGGTTACAGAGGCATCAGGTGTGGGTTTTGCAGGGAGGCAAGTACAGTGTTGGCTAGGGAAGCCTACTCCACTGCAGGGGCCTTCTGTCCTAATTCGCATCAGCCTTGCAGCTGATAATGTCAAGGTGGGGGAGGTGCTGGCATGCTCCCAGCAGATCCCCCAGGAAGTGTGTCTTGTTGATTGTAGAGCAGAAGCTTGGGATCCTTTCTGTTTGTACAGGCAGACAATGTGGTGGTTAGGGAAGCAGGGTCTTCTGCTGGGGCTGTTTTCCCAGTTCACAGCAGCAGGCAGCCTGCATGGCTGCAGGGAGGGGCAGGGACAATGGGAGACATGATTTCCTTACCATATGCAAACTCCTTGATTCTTGCCTGTCTGCTGTTCCCCTCTGCTGTCCTCTGTCCTCTGCTCCCTGATTCAAAGTCCCTCCAAGGCAAGCACAGTTTCCTTGTATTTCTTGTATTTGTGGGTGAGGGTTGGAGTGATGGTCTGTTTATGCTGCCATCTTCCCAGAATCCATCATGCCCAGTAATTTTTTTTATTGGGTGCTAGATATTTTGAATGTTAAGTTTTTTAGTGTCTGGGTTTTCTTGTTTTCCTTTTCATAGTGTTGAAGAATGTTTTGGTAGGCAGCTATTGGTGGATTATCTTGATCCTTTTAAGACTAGTTTTAAAGTTTGTTTTAGGGCAGATAAAGAGTAGCCTTTATCCTAGAACTAGTTTAGCCTTCCTATTAAAGTGTGTTTTTTCTGAGGCCTCTATTAAATGCTTTGGGTGATTTACACTCTCCACTCTGACTGCAGGAGCCCTGGTGGTGCAAACAGTTAAGCACTCAGCTGCTAACTGAAAGATTAGGCAGTTTGAACGTACCCTTCGGCTCCGCAGGAAAAAGACCTGGCAACCTGCTTCCATAAAGATTGCAGTCAAGAAAACCCTATGGAGAATTTCACATGGGGTTACTGTGAGTTGAAATCGACTCGATGATATCCAGCAACAACCACTCACGCTGGTCAGAACTTGAATGTGTCTCAGCCCTATGTAAGTTCTGAAAATTGTTTAGCTTATGTTGTTGTTGGTGGTGGTTGCTATCGAGTCAATTCTTACTCATACTGACCACATGTGTGACCCCCATGTCTTAGGTTTTCCATTCCTCTGCTGTTATCTAGGAATTGCCTCTAGACACAACTGGTGCAGTTTTAAAGTTTACCTCATTTGTTTCCCATCAGTCAGGGATTGCATTTCTGTGCTGCTTGTTGACTAGTGTCTTAAAACAATTACTTCATAAACTTTTGTCTAGTTTTATCGTTGTTCGTGACAGGAAGGCAAGTATCAAACCAGTCATTCCATCATTGCCGTATGTGGAAGTCTTTTTATTTACTTCTAATTCAGCACTATTAATCATCCACTGAGGCTAAAGTTGATAATGATACTTTTTTGGTAAAGGGTCAGTATAATTCTGAGTTAATGAAAAGCCTCGTTTTTGCTTTTTAACTTTTCATCTCGTTACAGACGTATTTCAAGATAATTAAATCTAACCTGCTTTTATTCTTTATGAATAGGAAGTGTAGCCAATCAAGTATTCCATCCAGTGATGTTTGACAAATGCATTCAGATTCTCAAGAAGAGCTGGCCTCAGGAATCTAACTTGAATCGAAAAAGAAAGAAAGAACAGCCTAAGAGCTCTCAGGGTAATCCAAGAGGGAATAGAAAAAGAGGAAAGCCACTTAGAAGAGAGGATATTGAGGTAAGAAGTAAGTGGAATAATAAAACATATCCTGTACCTGCCTGTGATCTTGATTTATTTAAGGATTGACCTTATATTAAAATGTGATTTTAGGCATTATGATTTTTACTAAAAGGTCCTAGAGCATCGTTAGCTTATCCAGTATGACTTTAAGTTGCTTCTTGGGCTTGGTATAACACTGAGGGTACATTTCCACCTGGCCATCTTCCAAGCTCCCGATCATCTCTCCTTAACCTTGTGCCCCAGGTGTACTTGACAACATGCTAACTGGAATATTTGGCACATTATCTTATCATTAGGGTGACTAAAACATTCTGAGGGCTCATGTACATAAGAGCATAATAGAATGACATTAATTCCTAATTTTCATGTGAGTGTATAGGAAGGTAGCAGTTTGCTGACTTCAGAACTTCTAAGAACCAAAGGAATTTTCACTGACACAAAATTATAGGGTGAGAAACTATTTTAGCCATCATCTAGTCAACAGTTTACAGTGTGGCTGTGGAAACCTGGAGTAGTCATGGGACTTGGTCAAAGTCACATCACTTCAGTGCTTTGGTTACTCTCTGGAGTTTAACTGGACTTGGTTTGGATTCATTGAAAACCATGGGACAAAGTGTTAGACATAGTTAGAAAGACATCTATATGTTTCTTCATAACCTAGATGGATGTAATTTTACAAGAACAAGAAGATGAGGAGAATATTTGTTTTTCTGCACGGGACCTTTCTTATATTCGAAATGCCATATTCCACCTGTTGAAGAATTTTTTAAGGCTTCTGCCCAAGTTTTCCCTGAAAGAAAAGCCACAATGTGTGCAGAATTGTATAGAGGTAAGTGAAAATCCCAAGGACCTTGGAACACCCTCAGAGGGCATAGACTATAGCTAATATTTAATTAACTACTGTGAACAGGAAAAATCAGTCTTTTCTTCATGCTGTTTTCCAGATCTTTGTTGCATTAACTAATTTTGAGCCAGTTCTTGATGAATTTCATGTTTCACAAGCCAGGTGAGCCATTAAATCTTCCCCTGCTAAACTGTTAATGTAGTATAATGATTTTTGCTCTGGTGGAAATATAAATACCATTTTATCCTGATTGGCACACAGGTAGAATTTATTCATTTAAATGTGGCTTACACAGTTAAGGAATATTCAAATTCTATCCAGTAACCAATCTTTTGCTTTTTTTCTTTAGAAATCTTAATGAAGCAAAATACATACCAGAACTGGCTTATCATGGATTATATCTGGTGTGCTCCCCAATCCATGGAGAAGGAGATAAGGTAAAGGAAACAAGAATCAAATGTAGTAACTAGTTGAATTAAAAGCGTACAAACCATACAATGGAATAATGTTAAAAGCATTTGATTTAATGATATTTTCATTTACTAGATCATTTTCATTACCTTATATCATTTGTATAATTAAAAGTATCACTATTTCTTTTTATTGCCTACTTTTCATTACCGGATATACCTGGTGTTGCAGTAGTTAAGAGCTCAGCTGCTAACGAAAGTGTCAGCAGTTCGAATCTACCAGCCGCCCCTTGGAAATTCTATGGGGCAGTTCTACTCTGTCCTGCAGGGTTGCTATGAGTCAGAATCGACCTGATGGCAACAGGTTTGGCTTTGGTTTTTTTCATTACCAGAGGAGCCCTGGTGGTGCGGTGGTTAAGGACTCGGCTGCTAACCGAAAGGTCAACAGTTCCAACCTGCCAGCTGCTCTGCGGGAGACAGATGTGGCAGTCTGCTTCCGTGAAGATTTACAGCCTTAGAAACCCTGTGGGGCAGTTCTGCTTTGCCCTACAGAGTCGCTATGAGTTGGAATTGACTTGATGGCAGTGGGTTTGGTCTTCATTACCACATTTCTATCCAAATACTTGGTAGCCACAGCAACTTATTGCTGGGTTTCAGATATAAAATGTGGTTCCAATGTGAATTAAGTAGGTGTAACAGATAAGCTGCTGAACAGAGTTGCATTTATAGACATGTTCACCAAATTATTCTAAAAAGAATAGACATTCATAGAATTTTCAGGTTTCCCATGATAATTTATTTGTGCCTCGGTGTTTCTATTATTATTTATACTATTTAAATTAATACTCCACAAAAATTCTACTAGTTGTTATTACTGGTTAACATTGATATCTGGATTTTGCCTCTGAGTAACCTTAATACTATCACTTCTCTAAGCACTGGAGTTAGGGTTTTTCAAGCATTATGGGGTTACTAAACTTAGATGTCATTAATAAAGTGATAAGATTTTGTAAAAAATGTGATGGACCAAGGTTATGTGAATTGGGGTAACTATGGTACAGGTGACTTTTAGGGACATAAGCATGGTGGGTAAGAAGATAGTGGTGGGATATGTGGGTTCAAATTATGACTCCACTGCTTAACTAGCAATGTATCCTTATGTGAATTTCTTAGCCTTGATAAAGCCTCTGTTTTCGCATCTTTACCAAAAAGATAAAAGTCTTGCCTTCCTCATAGTTTTGTAAGAAGATTAAATGAAATAATGCAAGATCAATGCTGAGCACAATGTCTATTGTTTAAAAAACACTCCATATTTTATAATTTATTATATCATTGTCTTAGACTGGGTTCTCAAGGGGGGAAAACCAGTGAAATGTATATATGCGTGTGTGTGTGTGTGTGTGTGTGTGTGTGTGTGTGTGTATATTTATAAAAAAAAAAAAACCCATTGCTATCGAGTCGATTCCAACTCATAGTGACCCTATAGGACAGAGCAGAACTGGATAGAGTTTCCAAGGAGCGCCACCAGGGTTTCCACGTATATATAGAGAGAGACAGAGAGTAATTTATATCAAGGAAATGGCTCAAGCAGTTGTAGAGGTTGGAAAGTGCCAAGTCCATGGGTCAGGCATCACTCTGGAGGCTTCTCCTGACTCCCATAGCTGCACAGACTGACAAACCTAAGATCTGCAGGTAAGACTGCAGGCTGCTGGCTCAAGTCCCATGAACAGGAGGTCAGATGATGAGGAGCCAAATGTTGGATTCAGAGCAGAGCAAAGCCAGCAAGCTTTGCCAGAATGTCCATATATATTGGATGCAGGCCACACTCCCAAGGAAACCCCTTTGAACTGATTGTCTGCCCGTAGCAGATCTCAGCATAGAGGAGATTACATGATATCAGATCTCATCATGGAGGTGATTACGTCATTACATAACTGCCAAATGACTGAAAATTATGTCCCAGCCAAGTTGACGCACAACCTTAACCATCACAGTCCACCCTTTGTCAAATTGGCACCTGTACACATCTCCTTAAACCATACATGCTCTCTTTAAATAAAGAAAATCATAAAATCATACTTGAGCCTGATGTGACACAAGAAACACATGTACAACCAAAAACATATTACCCTGTTTACATCTTTTAGAAGTGAAGAAAACAAAACTATTTTATACACACATCAAGGAAGAAATACTCATAACAGTTACGGTCCTCGTTTCTGCAACTGATCATGTGGTCATAGCTGGTATTTAGAACTGCCTTCTTCTACCACCCATTCCATATCCCCTTTACTCTCAGCAGGCACCTAAGCTGGTCATGGTTCTCTTCCTGGTGGAGTGACCCAAACCTTCATTCCTGAAAGGTCTGGGCCATTAGTAGTCGTGTCAGAATAGGGTTGCTGTAGTTTTCCATTGCCTTTAATTACAGGGCATAGTAGTACTAAGAGACTTTCTAAGGAATCTGCTGTATTCCAGACACACTGTTCTTTACCTCTATTATGTAATATCAATCCAATTTCCTCTTGGTAATCAGAATCAATCACACTAGCCAATATGGTAACTCCCTTTGCTTTTTAATCCAGAGGCATAAAGAGCCCAAACTGGCCAGATGCCATTCTTAACTTACAGTTCAGCAAAATCAGTGATTGGTCTCCAGGTGAGAGCATTCCTCCCTTTGGAACTTTGATCTCTATACTCACAGAACATAGAGTCTTGGGGCAGGAAGCAAAACTATTGTATGTCACTAGGGTAATAGTGTGTGGTGCCACTCCCATTTCCACCCACTGATTCCTAGACCCATGAATCCTCATATGGGAGAAACAGCACCATATATTGGACACTGGTTGAGAACATTTACAGCCTCCTGGAGAAGATTGCCCCAACCCTATAAGGTATTGCCACCTAGCTGGTGCTGTAATTGTGTCTTTATAAGGCCATTCCATCATTCTGTCTAGCCAGATGCTTCAGGATGGTGGGGAACATGGTAAGACCAATGAATTCCATGAGCATGGGCCCATTGCCACACCTCATTTGCTCTGAATTGAGTCCCTTAATCTGAGGTGATGCTGTATGGGATACCATGACAGTGGATAAGGCATTCTGTAAGTCCATGAATGGTAGTTTTGGAAGAAGCATTGCATGCAGGGAAGGCAAATCCGTATTGAGAGTAAGTGTCCATTTCAGTAAGAACAAAACACTGCCCTTTCCATGGTGGAAGCAGTCCACTTACTCAACCTGCCACCAAGTTGCTGGCTGATCACCTCAAGGAATATTGGGATGCTGAGGACTTAGTGTTGGTCTCTGCTGCTGGCAGATTGGGCACTCAGCAGTGGCTGTAGCCAAGTTGGCCTTGGTGAGTGGAAGTCCACATTGCTAGGCCCATGCGTAACCTCGATCCCTGTCACCATGACCACTTACTTCATGGGCTGTGATGTGAGTGGCTGGGGAAGGAGGTCGACTGATTTCCACAGAATGTGTCGTCCTGTCCTCTTGTTTGTTAAAATCCTCCTATGTTGAGGTCACCTTTGGTGAGCATTCACATGAGACACAAATACCTTCACTTCTTCAGCCCATTCAGAAAGATTCATCCACATACCTCTTTCCCATACCTCCTTGTCTCCAATTTTCCGATCGTGTTCCTTCCAAGCCCTTGAATCAGCCAATGAATCAGTATACAATCACACATCTGGCCAGGTGCACTGCTTGACGTTCTGCCCATTGAAAGGATTTCTCTTCATCTCTGTCCTTCAGGGAGGTCCCAGAAAGGGGCGGTAGTGCTGCTGCTGTCCACTTTTGAGTGGTGCCTGCATATTGCGCCTAACTATCCGTAAACCAGGCATTAATTTTCTCTTCCTGAGTGAACTGATTAGAAGGAACTCCTCATGAGGCCATAGGTGCAGGCTGGCAGATGGAAGGTAATGTGACAGGAGTGGAGATCGTGGATATTTGGGCCACTTCCTCATGTAACTTCAGGTCCTGCTGGGGCCCAATATACCACTTCCGTTTAATGATGGAGTGCTGCTGTGCACGTCCGACTTTGTGACTCTGTGGGTCAGACAACATCCAGTTCATGATGGGCAGCTCAGGCCACATGGTGACTTGGTATCCTGTGGGTAAGCATTCAGTCTTTACTGAGGCCCAGTAACAAGCCAAACACTGTTTCTCAAAAGGAGAGTAGTTATCTGCAGAGGATGGCAGGGCTTTGCTCCAAAATCCTAAGAGTCTGCATGGTGATTCACCAATGGGGCCTTGCCAGAGACTCCAAGCAGCATCTCTGTCTTCCACTGACACTTCAGGCACCACTGGATCAGCTGGATCATATAACCCAAATGGCAGAGTGGCTTCTATGGCAGCCTGAACCTGTTGCAGAGCCTTGTCTTGCTTTGGGTCCCACTGAAAACTACCAGCTTTTCAAGCCACTTGATAAATAGGCAGCAGTATCACACCCAGATGAGGAATATGTTGTCTCCAAAATCCAAAGAGGCCCACTAGGCATTGTGCCTCCTTTTTATTTGTGGGAGGGGCCAGATACAATAACTTATCCTTCACTTTAGAAGGAATTTCTCAACGTGCCCCACAACTGGACTTCTAGAAATTTCACTGAGGTAGAAAGTGGTTGAATTTTGGTAGGATTAATTTCCTACCCTCTAGCACGCAAATATTTTACCAATAGGTCCAGCATCATTGACACTTCTTCCTTAGTAGAGCCAATCAGCATAATGTCATCAGTGTAATGGATCAGTGTGACATCTTGTGGAAGGGAAAGGCGATCAAGGTCCCTGTGGAGTAAATTATGACGTAGGGCTGGAGAGTTGATATAGCGCTGAGGTAGGACCGTCATGGTGTATTGCTGGCCTTGCCAGCTGAATGCAAACTGCTTCTGGTCCTTTGAAACCACCAGAAGGTATGGAGAAAAAGGAATTAGCCAGATCAGTAGCTTCATACTGGGTACTAGGAGATGTATTAATTTGCTCAATGAGTAAAACCACATCTGGAACAGCATGTGCAGTCGAGTCACCACCTGGTTA